CTTCTGTCATCCTTGAGCATCTTGTAGTTTTCCTACAGTGTTAGCGTAGCCTGCTGATCAGCACTATACAGTTAAAGTCAGCCCTATGACAAGCAATCAGGGTGCTTTCTGGTTCTTCTCTGTCCTTAGGTCCTGTAGCTGTCACTGTACTGAACATGATGAATGAGGTTCTCAGCCACAACCTTTGCTAGAGTTACAAGGATGGGACTTAGAACTCCCTGATCCTGTTTTGGGCTTTGCTGCCTTGTGGTTGTCAAAGCTGAGCAATGTCCCTAGAACTTCTGGTCACAAGCAGGCACAGGCATTGCTTGGCACAGTATTGCTGCTGCCTGTGTCAATGTTGTTGCAAAGGCATATTAATTGAAGGTCTGTGGGAACCATCTCCAATGCAGATAATTCCACTTCAGCTGAAGCTTTTTGTTTTCTCATTTTGGAAGGGTGCTTCAAAAACAAACAAACAAACAAAAAAAATCCTACAAAAAAAATCACACTCTTAAAATTGTTACAGAGTTCAAGTAGGAATTAAAACTGGTTTGAATTAAACTTTCTGTGTAACCTCAGACGTTGTTCTGTTTTATATTGTCTTACTTGCTGAAATGTTTCTCTTTAATTTTTTTTCCCCTCAGCCACAGGCGCTTTATCACTACAAAAGATAATGAGACTGAGTTCCAGTGGCTACCATGCCATGAATCTGAACTGTCTCTTTATACCCCTAGGAAGCACTGCATAGCCATAGATTGAGGCGGAAGCGCGAAGCAGTTCATGTGGGAGGTTTGTCATGCTGCTGTCCTAGAGATAAGCAGAAAGCTTCACTGAACAAAGCTGCACTAGCATTAACCACACAGCTCTTAGAGACAGCATACAGGCACATCCTAATTAATCACAATTATGCAAACTCATGCATTTGCATACAGCAGTGTGCACGGAGTTACAGGGAATTTGGCAGTGATGCCTCTTGGCTGTGACTTAGCCAAGAAGGGAACCTCAGCACCTGCCCCAGGAAATCAAACATAGAGACAGACTCTGCACTCCTCCAGCTGGGAACAAGGGAAAAAAAACAAAGGCTTGCTTAAGGTTGTGGTGTAGCTTCTATTTCCCTACTTAATGAGGAAGCTACCTTTCTGCTTTATACTTTCCACCTGAAATTTGCATGGCCCTTTAGTGATTCAGCTAAACCACTGTGCTCCTCCTTTGAACTGGGAGACTTAAAAGCAGCTGCCAGCTGGGCAGCACTCTGAATTCACAGTTCTAACACCTCACTTTGACCATGTGAAACTCACTGCCTCAGACAGATTCCCAGCAGTGACTCTACTCACCTTCCTGGGCCCTTCTCAGCTATCAGCAGAGCTCCAAAGAGAGGGAGGTGAATCTCAGTGCCAAACTGGCTGCAGAGCTTTGCGGTCTACGTGCAGCCTCCATCCGTGATACTCATAGCATTGAGCTGTGTACTGCTTGCCACATAAAGGCCACGTCTTCAATTTTGTCTCTGTATGGGCCGATGCAGGAAGACCAAGTATTATTTATGACTCTAGAATTAGATGCTGCTCAGTTACAGAGGAAGATGGTGCTGTTATAGTCTGTTTCTTATATTCAGGCACGATTGCCTGCAGCACAACTACAAATGCAAATTCACTAAACAGCAAAACTCACTTTCATTTGCTCTGGAAGGGAATACAGAGATTCTCCCTGCTCTCCCAGATGCTGCAGGTACCTGTTAGTTCCTTTCTGCAAACAAACAGAAATCCTCCCCTGACTCTTCAAATTCAAAAGCAGATACCTTCCAGGCTGGTGCTGACTGCTTATGGCCCCCAGCTGCACCCATCCCAGCTGAATAAATAACAGTATGTTAAAATGAGAAATGCTGAAAACTTTGCTTTTTGTGATCAGCGACAATAAGATCGGAAGACACGTAGGTTGAAGAGACTGTGCTCATTTAACAAGAAAAAAAAATCTTAAGTGAATGTGTGAATGAGGGTGAGCACTTGAAAGTAGTATGATAATAGAGCACAATGAACAGGGAGGATGTTCCCACCCTTCTTTTCTGAATGACTGATATTATAACCAGAGATGCTGGTGCAATGCATGAAGAGAAAAATATTAGGCAATATCATTATATGGTAAAAATGAAATCTTTCGTGTTGATTTCTATGGAACTAGTGCCACTGCAAGATACAGCCCAAGACAGGTGAGAGGAGTGTGAGGACAGAAGTACATGAAAGTAATGAGAAATGATCACAGGTACTGAATCCCAAGTGAATACAGCTCAGGAAGTCTTCAAGAAGATTTTCTTTCCAATTTACTTCTGGTTTATAAATAACAATGAACAAATATGCTTCTCTGAGATGAACGTCTCTCTAGCAGTGAGATCCTGTCATTAATCATTTATACATGTATCCTTGTTAGCTTTATTTTCAGTGCAATACAGTGTTTTACTTGTGGCTTTACACACAATTATGGCAAGATATAGCTATGTGCTGATTATCTTTTTGAATACAAGAGGGGCAGTGCAAACAGCCTTCATTGGAGGGCACCCTGAGGCATGAGGAGCACTGAATGCTGTGTGCCACCCTCCCTGCAATCATGCTGCTAATCTGGTGCGCAACTAGATGGAGCACTGCAAATTAGGGCTGCAGGATCAAGATGTTGCTGGCACTTTTATCTGCAGCTGCACACTTCAGTTGGCTATTGCTAATCATTAACATACAGAGTTTTTGTCATCCGTCCATGAAGAACATACATCTGAAACTATAAATCTTCTCTGCAAGACTGAGAAGCAGATTGAAAATGAAAGAAAATTTGACTTGCCCTCATTTAGGGTTTTCTCAACTATATATAGAGGGCTTAAAGGATTTATTATTGTATAGTTTAGCAAGATGTGCACTTTTTCTTCTAGTGATTCAAGCCTTTCTTAACATTTACTATAATATTGTAATATGCTAATTTACGTTTCAAAAGAACAAAAGCATATGAAAACAGGCCTTGAACATTCTCTAGCTCTAACAGTTCTTATTCTTATCTAACAATGATCCTGACAAACAGCTGAGAGAGGCAGTTCTTCGTTGGCACTGACTTCCCACTCCTTCCAGCAAAGGCCAAAATCTCAATAATACGCTCAGCAGCTCTGGTAAAACTTGGGGGAACTTTGGCAGTACCACTGAATATCAAAAAACGTTTCTGGTATCAGCCTTCAGATATACAATACGTTGCTATATATATTGTATAGCAACATACAGAGGTTGCTCCAAAAGTGATGCCTCCCATTTATTTCCAAGGAAAATATGACAGATACAAAGAGCACAATAACATTATTTGATAGAGCAAATTATCAGCTATAAAACACCATTTTTTGACATGGTCACCACCATTAGCTATGCATTTTCACCAGTCATGAGCAAGAATCTGCACGCTGTGCTTGTCAAAATCTGCACCAGTGGAGGTGACTAACTGTTGCCATCATCACTGCTGAAACTCCCATCACCTCAGTGCTCACATTCACTGTTTGGTCTCCATAAGCATTCAGCAAGTGTCAGTGAATGACAATGGGTGCCATATTTTCCACAGGGAGGAATTCAATTCCACACCTTTGCTTCTTCTGCACTTCTGACATGATACCACTCTGTCAGACCAACCCTCTGCTGCCATCTGTCACATGGCAGCAATGTGTAATGGAATACTGGGGGGAAGATTCAGCATCTACCGCCATGCCACCAACATCTGCCTCTGACACTGTGGGACAACATCACAAAATAGGAGGCGTTACTTTTGGAGCCACCCTTGTGAATTCTAATATTTTTGTTTACACGTCAAATACTTCTGCTTATCCTTCAAATATTATTCTCAAAACCACAAGGGTTCTGCTTTCATGGACATGTAAGTGCATCAAACATTAAAGAGCAAGGCAATTACAGTGGGGCTGATGAATTCTTAATCTCACGAACAGCAGTAAATTGAGGGAGAACACAGTCTCATCACTGGTTGTTCCTTTGTGATTAAGTATTAGATATCTGCAATGTCAAACATTCTGTAGCCCTATTTATTTGATTAATTTAATTGTCACTCTAATTAATTTAATTATTTCGTAGCAAGGGTTGAGAGGTGCATTCACGGCTCTGTAGGGAGCTCGGCTGATTCTCAGCTTCGTACTTCGCCGAGCGGTTACAAAGCCACTGCCCTTCTCGTTCGGCTGTGATGGATGCGCCCTCTGCTCGCTTCTGCCTCCGTGCCGCTGCTCGCAGATTAACACAGGGGATGGGAGAAATCACAGAGCGTTAAATTAAGCGTGTGGATACGTTGTTGGAGGACGGACCCCTCAGTCCTTGCACTTTCGTAGCGATGAGCACACCTAAGCACCTCTGACTTGCGAAGGGGAGAGGAAGAAAAACAGAGGAGGGGTTTGCGGGGGGTGGAGAGGGAAGGAGGATGAAAGGAAGCTGGTTTCTCCGGAAGCCAAGTAAAAATATGGAGTAGGGGGAGGCAGTAGAGGGGTCTTGCAGGTTTGTTGCTCGGCGGAACGGACCCATCCTTACAAAGCAACTTCTGAATCTCCGTGCGAGGCTGGGCCCGAATCTCCTCGTCCCGCAGAGCGGCGGGTTCGTGCCGCGGGGCTTTGCGTGCCGCTCCACGGCCTCCCCCCGTGGCTCCGGGACGGCGCCTCCTGGGCCGAGCGGCAGCCGCGGAGCGAAGCGCTTGCGCCCCGCCGAGCTCCGGGAGGCGGCAGCGGGGGCTGCACAGGGAGCAGTGGAAGCACCCGCTTCCCTCCACTGCACTCGGCCTCGCGCTGACAGCCGCGTCGCGGAAACCGCCCGAAAAGAGAACTTGTGCGTCCCCGGCTGCCGCCCCGCTGCTCGCATCCTCTCCTGCAGCGCATCCGCCCGCCCTCCGGGCGCTGCCCTCCCATCCCGGGGCTTGGGGCCGGCCCGCCTGCTCCGAGCGGGGAAGCTCGTTTCACTCGGAGGGGTTTTGTCGCTCGCGGTGTGCCGAGGGGAGGCACCGTCCCTAAGGCACCCAAGCCTCACCCTGCGGGGGAAGGGAGTTGGGTGGGGGCAAGCCAGGAAGGGAGGATCTCCGCGGCTCTCCTAAAATCAATCAGCAGGCTGCAAGGAGGAAGAGTTTGGCACTTCGCAGGCGAGACTGGGCTTGTTTTCCCCAGCGGGGATGCCGCTGAACTGAGAGCGGCCGCGCAAGTTGGGGGGACGGAGCCCTTCCCATCCGCCGCTCCCCAACCCCTTTCCAGCCCCCGCCACCCCTCAATGAGAGCTCCTGCGAGGGGAGGGCGACTCGGTGCCTGCTAGGGCTGCTTCCCTCCGCCTGCCGGACTTCCACCCTCCGACGAGGAGCGGCGCGCACCCCGCACCCCGGAGAGTTGTCTCGGCAGCTCCGTGCTATGGCGAGGCTGCGGAGAAGCAAACTAGCCGCTGGATTTCTATTACTTTTCCAGTTCCTGTGCGAACGCTACCAGCTCGCCGGCGGAGAGACGCCGAGTCAGAGCCACGGTAAGTGAAGCCGGTACCTGCCGGGCAGGGCAGCACCAACGGGCCCGGGGCCGGGGGGGGGGGTCCGCGCCGTCACTCCCAGCAGCACTGTGGGCCCTGGGGCCGGAGGGAGAGAACGCGGATTGGGGTTAGGCTCCCACTGCCCCCCGGGGTGACCGCTGCAAAGGGTCTGCACCCCTCCTTCGCCGGCTTCTCCGGGAAGAGCTCCCCCTCGCTTTATTTATTTATTTGAATGAGAACTCGGGACTTTCCTCCCTCCACCATAAGTGGGAGCCGCTACTGTTTTCCACAGTCTCTCCGTGCGATCTCTGTAGATTCCTTCCCGGCTCCCGAAGGAGAAGAAAGGGCTCTGCCGGGAGTCGAGAGAGGCTCCGGGAAGCCCGAGGCAGCGGGGGAGGCGGGCGGGGTGCCCGGTTCCCCCCCTCTCCACAGCGGCGGGGCCCCACTGCAGCCCCAGCAGCGAACCGTAGGAGGGGAGGCAAAGTTTCCCTCCTCACCCGCTGGGAGAGCCAGCGGGCACTCCGCTTTCCTGCTACTTGCAGTTTTCCTGAAAACCAAGCGCGGAGAGAGGGATCTTGGAGCAGCCTCCAAGGGCTGTGGGAGCTGTTAGTTTAGAACGAGAGGTTTGTCCTGCTGCCTAAGTTTGGTTGCGGTGGTATCAAGGTCCTCCCGGAGACACCTGTTAGTGCGTGGCACACAGCACCTGCGGTGCGTTTCACCGGGGCTCCCTGCTGACCGCCGAAGCCTCAGCGTCCCGCATTCCTGCGCTGCGGAGTGGAGAGCTACCGAAGGAAGCTCAGTGCGTCTGCAGATAGGTATTTGAGTAGCGAGTGAGGAAAAGCTCGGTTTTGCACGCCAGGGGATCTTGCTGCGGCACCTTCTGCCTTGTGTCTATGTATGTGTACTTGTAAAAGCTCTGCTTTTATGGTTGAAGTACCAGCCAGTTTTATACCTGCTGAAATATGTCCATGGTGTGCCAGAGCTGCCCCTTCCTCCTTTTCTGTAAGGTCTGGTACAGACGTGTGGCATTCTGTGGTCACAGAGTAAGTGCCCCAAACAGGAGAGCCATGGGAGCTCTCTGCAGTGCCGGCTGAGACACGTGCCAGGCAGAGGGGACTGTTCCCAAACAGGGGCCTATTGCTGGGTTGGGAATGGTTAAAAGGCCAGGTAGCTCAGCAGGTTGCTAGGGGCTCATATGGCATGTAGGGCTGAAGGGGAAAAGCAGACTGTCCATGCAGTGCTGCAAGATGCGTGTGGCTGTTCACAGGGGTTTGGATAGCAGTTGTTGGTGTTAGGTAATGTTATTGGGTGAAACGAGCATGGCTGTGAGAGTACAGAAAGAAAATGACTGTGTTGTGTGGCAGAGGACTAAGTTTACAAAGTTTATTCACTTATTGCCATCATATCTTTAAAAGAAAGTCTTGTTGCTGACTAAATGAAATACAATTTATCAGTAGACAAAGAATAGCTGCTTGTTACTCAGTGAGGCTATTGAGTTGTAATAGTCAACAAGATCTGTGCTGGGGAGGTGCACAGCAGAAACTGCACCAGCAGCAAGCTCATCCCTAAGTCATTGGTTAGTGCCTGGTGTGTTGCTGAGCACAAGGGGAAGGAGCAAGGAGTTAATAATAAGCAAATGTTACCTTGACATGTAATGCATTCTGAAGAAAATATATGAAGAGATTGTTGCCTTCTGCTGCTAAGGTGGACAATCTCATGCCAGTTCTGACAGATGGGTGTCTATAACCATGAAGTCTTTTCCTCTCCACCTTGAATAAAAAAGTTTACATAATGACAGCAACACTCAGATGTCATTAATGTATTCAGAGTCACATTTAACATGTTTTCATCATTACAATTTTAAAAAGTTTTTAATGTATGTTGCTTTTTTACAGTATATAGACTCAGTATACAGACTGTGTCTAGCCAGTAAGTAAAGGATTATTAAATAAAGCTGGAGGGACTCAACTTGAGGTTCTGTGAGCCAAAATAAAAAAAGAGTTGTTTCAAAGTTTACTCTATTTAGCATCCAGTGTATCTCTTCGGAGTAACTCAGATGAAACCTTCGAAGAATTAAAGTAGAAACCAAATCTTTGAAGTAGCTGCAGTTACTTAATGGGAAGCCAGTTCTGATATGCTCAGTGGCAAAACACCATATTGAAAGTGAATGAGATTAACAGTCAAGAAATGCAAATGTTAAGTATGCCCTTAAGAGCTAGAACCAGGAGAGGGTTTCTGAGGATGGCACCAGAGGGCTACGACACTGCTTCAACAGAAACCGGGGGGGTTGGGGGGGAGAAATAAAACAACCACCAATAAATACCATTTTACTGCCCGTTCTTTGCCCCCCCCCCCCCCTCCCCCCCAAGTTCCTAAAATTTCCTCCCTGGGCACAATCAGGTGAGATTCATTGAAGCGAAGCCATTTCCCAGGCAGGCTGGCACCCGCCTGCTACCCCTGGGTGATGTGATGGAGCCGGGGCTGCGGGAAGCGAGGAGCGGGGCTGTCCCCACCAGAGGGCACCGCGGCCGCTGCAGCTCCCGGAGCGCGGGCACAGTTTCCTCTGCCTTGGGGAAAACGCTCTGCATCAAGAGTGAAAGTTCTTAAAGGTTTGTGTTCAGTGCGTGTTTGACATAGCCGAGCTGCGTGTGACACGAATTCAGTGAGCTGAAGCAGTGTGCTCTTTTGAAAGCTTGCCCAACAATGAGGGCTCCCGGGTGTTTGAGTGAGGGCTGGCTGCTTGCTGAAACGTTGCAATAGGAAGCCATGAAAATGTGTTCTTTAGCTAACGCTGTCAGAATAAGGAGGCTGTTATTGCAAATTCTCTTCTGTCAAAGTATATTCTGGGTATGATTTATACTCATTGGACTGCTGCTGTTTCTAAGCATCGCCATTCAAAGAGTGGTAGAATTACTTTTATGGGATAAACTACTATTAGTGCTTATTTAGTATTTATCTACTGAAATAGTCACAGGTTTGTACAGCTTGAGTTTACACTGTTTAGAACATCGCCATCACCTGCAGCTTTTATCTTACAAGTATCAAGCAAATTATGACTTAAGGCATCACATGTACCAGACTTTTTTCTCTTTGCATTCAAAATTGCTTTGTTGTTGTTGTTGTTGTTTTGTTTTGTTTTCCTTTTGTACAAGATCTGCAAATAGAAACAATCACTGAGGTATCCCAGTGACATTTATGAGTAAATCCTATTGGCATAATCAAGTTTTTTTTTACCAAGAGCTCCCTCTAAAGAAGTAATGTCTTAACTTTCAACCTGGTTCTTCCTTTTATTTTTATTTTTTCCAATTTTTGTAATCATCATTTCTGCTGAAAGTGTGGTTTGAAATATTGCTAACAAATGGCAGATAAGCCAATCTTATCACAGTCTTGATTTAGTTATTAAAGTCACTCTCATAGAAACTCATTTCCACAAATTTAGAGTGAGAAAAGTAGCTGCAGTTTCCTGATGGTTTGAAAATCCCCTGGGGAAACCAATGTTTCTGTTTGGTTGTAAATATTCCTCCTTGCAATTTTCATACTCAGAAAGGCACTTAAAATCCAGCGAACACTTGACTCTGAATCTGGCTCTTGTTCTGACCCTTAAGTAGGAGTTGATTATAAATAACAGGGAAACCACTTTCCTATGCTGTAGACACGTAGGGAATGACAAAATGATCTTTATATTTGAAAAGTCCTTTCACTGTGGGCAGCAATTTATTAGCAACACATACAGGCTGTTTAAAGCAAAGCGCTGAAGCAATGTCCGCTGTGCTGAATACCACGTTCCTCTGAAAACTTTTGCAGTTCACTAAAGCTGTTTCCTGTAGGACAAGAGACTCCTGAGGCCATGAAGGAATCAGAGGAGGGAATTCAGCACAGGCTAGTTTTAGCGTGAGTTAGTTGTTCATGATGTGAATGTGACTTTGCACATTCATTAAAGTGTTTTGGCCCAGTGGAGCAGGGCTGCTGTTCCCTACACCTGCACTGACCTCAGGAGATGGAGGTTTGAACCTGGAGCTGTGTTTCCTGCGGGACTATGAGATGCTGCTTTGCTTTGAATTAAGCTAGTGATGGATATCATACCAAAAAAACTCTGTCTGAATCCCGGTTTTCTCTATTAAGGAATTGAAAAACAAATTTTTTTTTTTTTTTCCTTTTTGAAAGAAGCTTCGTCATTTGACTCTGTTTTTCACAAAAGTCACTGTTGTTTTGTTGGGCTCTCTGCAGTATTGAGCAGTGATGCTGTTGGTAACTCGAAAGGCACTGGCAACAAGAAAACTCTATTAATGCCACGGTTTCAAAACCAATCAAGGCTACAGTCCGTGTATTGGTGTAACTGCTATGAGCACAAGTTTCCAGTGTGGTTTGTGCTTCCTAAGGAAAATTAATACCAATGCAATTTGAGAAAGCAGTAGTTAAGGTAAGCGTGCGCTGGGGCCCTGTGCGCAGGGAAGTGAACAAAAGGTCATTTGACAGAAGCATTTCTCATCTAGTACGAGGAAATGTTGTATGCTTGCCAGCAGTGTGAAATTATATCCAACTATTAGGTTTGATGAGGGCTGAGCTGGGAGTGCTAATGTGGTGCAATTGGCAGATGTTGTATTTACTAAACCAGAGAATTGCGTAATCACAGCAGAAACTCAAAGAGCCTTGGAGATTACTTTCCATGGAAAAGTATGCAGACAAGCCACGCTAAGTGCACGTGGGTTTTGTTTTTGTTTGTGGCTTCTGAAAAATGAGCTTAAAGCATTGCTGTGAGGTAATGTTTGTGAGTGCTGGGTGCAGTATGTCATCATGGAACACTTCTACTTCCTTGCTCCTCTCTTCCTCATCCAACAAATAAACAGAGCCTCAATTAGCTTTCCTTGCTGTCAGTATTGGTCAATCAGTTGTGCTAATTGTCCTCATAAATTCTGGATTTGAAAGAGCTTATGTAACATGTTCATCTCCCTTCACCAAACATCAGTGCGTAGGCGTGTTCTTTCAAGCTGGATTTGGCC